CCCGCCCTTGAGCCGGCCTGCCCATCTGCGACGCTCACCACACTTCTGGACTTCCGCTGGACCGGGCCCCTACCACCGCTATCATGCTGGATGATGGCCGCAGATGTGAACAGCGGACATACGTGCGCTCCACTGTGGTTCCTGGAAGCCCGATCCATGTACCGGCCGGACGGACCGAAGAGCTGCGGCCGGTAGGCGAGGTCGAGTTCGTCCAGGGGCATCGCCGCCGCCAGCGCCACCGGCTGTATGGGCCAACCAGGGCCCGCCGCCGCCATCATCGGCCACGCGGACCTCGCCCTCGGCGACGATGTGGCCCACGTCCTCGACGCGCTCCAGGCGGCCAGCCCCAACCGATTCCGCGGTATCCGGTACAACGCGGGTTGGGACAATCCTGAGCTGGACAGCCGTCTCCGTCGAGCACAAGTTGGCCGACCCGCAGTTGCGCGCGCGGCGCCCGGTTCTCGCCGACGGGGCCTGGTTCTACGAAAACGTCGTTTACTTCCCGCAACTCGCCGAACTGGCCGATTCGCGCGCGCCGTGCCCGACCTGACCATCGTGTCCAACCACATCGGCGGCCTGATCCGCGTCGGCCCTTACGGCAACCGGGACGACGAGGTTATGCCGGCCTGGAGGGACGGCGTGGCCGCGCTGGCCAGTGTCCCAACGTGGTGATGAAGCTCGGCGGCGTGGGCCAACCACGGTACGGGTTTCGACTGGCACACGCGGACCACGCCCATAGGCTCGGAACAACTGGCACAGGAGATGGGACCCCTGATCACCTACTGCATTGACCAGTTCGGGCCCGACCGCTGCCTGTTCGAAAGCAACTTCCCGCCGGACAAGGTCTCCTTCTCGTACAACGTCATGTACAACGCCTTCAAGCGCATGACGTCGGGTTACTCAGCCAGCGAGCGCGCCAACATGTTCCACGACAACTCGGCCCGGGTCTATCGGATCGAGTACTGACCACTATTGGCCGCGTCAGCAGCGCCGTCAGTTCACTCACGTCGGCCAGTCTCTCGAGACGGCCGACGGTGTCCACTACCCGCTGCATCCGGTCTTTCGACAGGGTATCGCGGGTCAGGGCATAGAACTTGGTGAGCAGTTCCTCGCGCCCCGCGGGATTGGAAAAGTCGCCGCGCTGTGACGTAACCTCCGCTTGGCGGATGCTGCCGTCAGCCAGCTCCACGGCAACGCGGGCCGACGGATAGTCGTAGCGGCGCAGGTTCATGTCGGGATCGGAGTCCAGCGAAACGCGCTGGGCGAGTTCACGCACATCCGCGTTGGAGACCCGCTCCGGCAAGAACGCGGTGACGTCAGTGCGGCCGTAGCAGATAGCGGCAGCCACCGCGTAGGGTATCGAGAACTTCGCCGCCAGCATATTGTCGGGCGCGGGTTCGGCCATGATGCCGGCGATGGGCGGCGCGGTGACCGCCACGCTCTTCACGTCGGACGCGGCGAAAGGCTCGTCGCGAAGCAGATCCTGCACCGCGTCCAGGACCGGATGGTTGTACAGACAGCAGGCGTGGAATTTGAAATAATTCTGCTCGATACGGAGGTTGCCCGAAGTTCCCAGACCGTCAACCGCTGCGTCCGGGTCGAAACCTTCCCCGAGGAAGGTGCGGTACAGGTCAGCGGGGCCGTCGCCGACGGCCGTGAAACCGCATTGGCTGAGGTGAACCGCCATGATCCCCTGGAAACCGGACCGGCCGGGGTACAGGTTGCGCACGGTGGCTCCTTCAATGCAGGGGGTCCACGTATTGGCTGGGCTCATGGACATGGACAGGTTCATCGCCAACCTGGTTTGCGCCGCGTCGAACCCCATCAAGCGGGCGGTTGCCGCCGCCGTGCCGATGGTCCCCCAGGTGCCGTGGGAGTGCACTTCCGGCCTGATTTGGGTGGCCGTTCCGATGCGGGATATGACCTCGTAGCCAACTATGATGCTCTCCATGACCTCGCGGCCGCTACGTCCCAGGTCCTCGCCCACGGCGATGGCCCCCGGCGTGACGTGGATTGACGGGTGCCCGCCGCCCAGGCGGTTGCCTTCATCCATCTCCAGCGACACGCCGGCGGTGGCGTTGACCATGGTGGCCCAAACCGGTTGCACCCGGCCAGCATGACCGAAGACGGTTGCCGTACCGGGTCCGCTCATGGCCGCGGCCAGACTGGCGAAGTTGGCATTTTCAGACAGGCGGCTGCCGGCGAGGATGGCGCCGATGGTGTCCAGCACCACGTCCTTCGCGGCGGCGATGGTGGACGGCCGCAGGTCCTCCCAGCGCGACTCCGCCACGAACTGGGCAAGCAGGTCGAGATAATTCTTGGCCATAATCGCACCTACCGCGTGAAGAATTCGTGGAGCAGCCGATATGCGTCGTCCGGCAACTCCTCAGCAATGTAATGGCCGGAGGGCAGCGACTGCCCTTCCACGTTATTGGAATAGTTCCGCCACACTGCGAGAACGTCCTGGGTGCGGCCCACGTAACCCCGGTCGCTCCACAGCGCCAGGTGGGGGCAGTTGACCTTGTTGTCGAAGTCGGCCTCGTCGTGCTCCAGGTCGATGCTCGCGCCGGCGCGGTAGTCCTCGCACGCCCCGTGGATGGCTTCGGGGTTACTGAAGCAGCGCACGTATTCGTCCACAGCCTCCGGCGCGAACACCGTCTCCGCGTTGCGCTCGCGCATGAACCTGGAGCGGATGTAGTAGTCGGGATCGGCGCCGATGACCCGCTCCGGGAAGTCGTAAGGCTGGATCAGGAAGAACCAGTGGTAGGTATTGGTCGCCATTTCCTTGTTGACGATGCTGAACATGTGGCGCGTGGGCACGATATCGAGGGTTGCCAGCCGCAACACGCGCTCGGAATGATCCTTGGTCAACCGGTGGCCGACGCGCGCGCCCCGGTCGTGGCTTCCCAGGAAGAACGTATCGAACCCGAGGTGCGTCATGGCGTCCACCAGGTCCTGGGCCTGCGCCCGCTTCGAGTGGTTGAAGTGGTCGGGGCTGCCCTGGGGCTTGCCGCTGTCCCCGTAGCCGCGCAGGTCCGCCGCGACCACGGTGAAGTCTTCGGCAAGACGCGGCGCGATCTTGTGCCACATGGTGTGCGTCTGCGGGTAGCCGTGCAGCAGCAGCAACGGAGGACCGCTCCCGCCCTTCACCAGGTTCACCGCCTCGCCGGCGGTCTCCACCTGCATACGCTCAAATCCCTCGAACAAAGCCATCTTCCGCTCCTTCGTATTTCCCAAGTCAAGTGCAAGCCATAGGCCTGTAGACCGGTACATAATGCGTCGGTGCGCCGGCGATGTAAATACCTTGTTCCGTGCCCTTTGACACCATATTCGCGCCCGTGTACCGTAGGTCACAAACTGCCGGACTGGCCCTTTTGAGAGCGCAAATGACCACCACCACGGTACCAACCAACATCGCCCACTACCTCGACGCGGCTGGCCCCTTCGTGGCCCGCGTCGACGAAGCCGCCGACTGGATCGACGCCGAGCGGCAGATGCCGCCCGACCTTGCCGGGGACATGGCCGATGCCGGCTTTTTCCGCCTGCTGCTGCCTCGCGACCTGGGCGGCGCCCAGCTGGCGCATCCGGACTTCCTGCAAATTCTGGAGCAATTTGCCGCGGCGGATGCGAGCGTGGCGTGGTGCCTGAACCAAAACAACGTCTTTGCCACCAGCGCCGCCCGTATGCCTGTGGATACCGCGCATCTGATCTGGGGCGAGCCGCGCGCGGTGGTCACCAATGGACCGCCCACGAGATCCTGCCTCGCCACTCCCGTGGAGGGCGGCTACCGCCTGAACGGGCGCTGGAACCTGAGCAGCGGCAGCGACCACGCCACCTGGATCGCTGCGTTGTCGCCCGTGGCGCAGGGTGGGCAAAACGGAGCCACCGCCAGCGATCAGGGGCCACGCATCCTGCTGATGCCCAAACCGGAGGTCAATATCGTCGACCTGTGGCACACGGCCGGACTCCGCGGCACGGGCAGTTTCAGCTTCGACGTGGACGACCGGTTCATCGCCGAAGAGCGCACCTACATCCAGGATGGCCCGGCGTGGGCCGATGGACCGCTGTACCAGATCCCGCGCACGCTGCTTTTTGCCACCGGCTTTGCCACCGTTGCGCTCGGCGTGGCGCGCAAGAGTTTGGAAATCGCCATCGGAGTAGGCCAGAGCCGGATGCCCTACCGGTCCGGCGTGCTGCTCCGCGACCAGCAAACCACCCAGCGCACGATGGGCGAAGCACATGCCCAGCAAAGTTCCGCGCGCGCCTTTCTGAAGGAAGCACACGGCCGGCTGTGGGATTCAGCTTGCTCCAAGGGCACGCTCACCATCGACGAGCGGATCCAACTGCGGGTCGCCGCCACCCATGCCATCCGCACGTCGGCGCAGGTGGTGGACGCCGCGTACACCCTTTGCGGCGCGAGCGGCATTTTCCAGTCCAACCCGATCCAGCGACGGTTCCAGGACATGCACGTCATCACCCAGCATGTGCAGGGACACTACGTGCACTACGAAACGGCGGGCCAATTCCTGATGGGCTTGGAACCGCAGGGCGTTTTTTAGCAAAAGGAGGTGCGGCCATGGCTGCGAATCACGTGGATACCGTCATCGTCGGCGGGCAGATCGTAACCTCGTCACAGGTGTACGAAAGTTCGATCGCGGTTTCGGGCGGGAAGATCGTCGCCATCGGTCCCGAAAATTATCTGCCCCCGGCCGACCGCTACATTGACGCCGCCGGCAAGTTCGTGCTGCCCGGCCTGATCGACAGCCACGTGCATCTGGACGGCCACGACGACTACGCACTGGGTTCGTTGGCCGCGGCTCACGCCGGCCTGACCACCCTGGTGCCCTTCGGGACCTACCAGCTGGAGGGCGACGAGACGCTGCCGCAGGCCGTGCACCGCACTCGCGAAACCATTGAGCAGAACGCGCTCACCGATTTCGCCTTCCACTTCATCCTGCAAAACCGGCCGAGCATCCTGTCTGGGTTGCCCCAGGCCATCGACCTCGGCGTCAAATCCTTCAAGATGTTCATGACCTACAAGAAGCGTCCCGGCAGGATGTGCGACGACGACTACATCTGCGAGGCCATGGACCTGGTGGGCCGTGGTGGGGGCGTCCTGCAGCTCCACTGCGAGAGCGGAAACATCATCGAGTACCTGGAAAACAAGCTGTTGGCGGAGGGCCACACCCATCCCACGGATTTCCCCACCGCGTGCCCGGACTGGGCGGAAGAAGAGGCCATCAACCGGGCAGTCAAGATGAGCGCGGCCACACGTTGCCCCACCTATGTCGTCCACCTCAGCACCCAACTTGGCCTGGAGCGCATCAAACAGGCGCAGAGCCTGGGGCAGCGCGTGTGGACGGAGACCTGCCCCCAATACCTTCTGCTATCCGACGCCCAAATGGCGGAGCGCGGCCCGCTGGCCAAGATCGGCCCGCCATTGCGGCCCGACGACGGTCCGGATCGTGACGCGCTTTGGGAAGGCTTGCGACAGGGTCACGTCTCGATAGTGGCCAGCGATCACTCACCGCATCCCCAGGAACTCAAGCAACCGGGCTGGGACAACATCTTTGTTGACGCCAACGGCATGTCCGTCCCCTTCGGATCGCCCGGGATCGAGACCATCGTGCCGCTGATGTACAGCGAGGGCGTGGTCAAGCGCGGCCTCCCCATCTGGTGGCTGGCCCGCGTCATGGCCGAAAATCCGGCGCGCATCTTCGGCATCTACCCGCGCAAGGGTGTTATCCAGGTCGGTTCCGATGCCGACTTTCTCATCCTGGACCCCAACGGCGACCGCATCGTCACGGCCAGCGACCACCACAGCAACGCCGGATACTCCCTGTTCGAAGGCTGGCGCGTCAACGGTCGCCCGTGGATGACCATGCTGCGCGGCCAGGTATTGCTGCAGGACGGCGAGCTCCAGCAGAACCCGGGCTATGGGATGTTCCTGGAAAGCGGCGAACCCCGTGCCCCATTGGGCGGCCCGGTGAGTTAGAGCGAGTCGTCAATATCGAGGGTAGCACTGCGGGTCAGATAGCCATTCGTCTCGACTCCCGTGCCGGGAGTGAATTCGCCTTTGAGCCACCGGACGAAGGCGTTGGCTTGCCAATACCTAGTGCGTTGGAGTTGGGGCGGAGTTCGGATTCGCTGACCACCTGCCGGTATCTTTCTAGTGCTTGTGTAACTTCTCTCAATGCTTCAGGGCTGATCTCGGGCATGGTGCGTTCCTCTTGCAACTGCCCAAGCCTGCCTGACTCTCTGATTGTTGATGTGGCGTGTCGGACATTTACGGCCCCGGCTTGAATCCATAAGGAAACCGCCGGAGTTGCCTCTCTTGGTTGTGCGGTTCCCGCTGAAAGTCTGGGATTCTCTCGCCGGTAATTGCCAACCGGTTCAACCAGCGGGTCTCCTCGGTGTGCCAGAACTGCAGCTTTGACCATTCGCCGTCTGTGTCGTACCGCGCCTGTTCACAAGATAGCGCTCCGCCAAGGGTGATGTGTATTCCGTCCCACTGGTCGGAGACTTCCTGCCAGTTAGTTACCAGTCGACCATCAGGTGCTCGGTGGGGAAATTCCAGACAAAGCGCGTGCCAGTCCGCGGGGTGGTTGATTTCATAGACTTGCACATCCTGCTCAAACTGGACTTGCCATGCGGCCAGTGGGAACGCACAAATGTGGTCATTTGCATAAATGGCGTAGGCCGTGACTTCGGATGTGGTGCTGCCTCGTAATGTGGAGGTTCCCTGTGAAGACGTGTTGGGAACTGGGTCGCCTTCCTCATCGGGCGGGTCGGGCTTTCTCCAGCTTTGGGGAATGAGGGGGTTGGGTTCGGGCGGGTTGCTGTGTGGCATTTGTGGCGATGTCCAGATTTGGTTGTCCAAATCCAACGGTTCATACCACCAGGCGAACAGCGGATTGCTTACAATCTCCAGCGCCAAATCCATAAAGTCTTTGGCTCCATCGAGTGCTAGGTCCAACCACTTTTGCAGACTTTCTCCTGCGTGCACGTCGCACCAATGCATGGCTGACGATGCCAGCCAGAAACTCACGTCCGGCTCAGCTATACGTTCTATTCCCAGGTGCAAGTTTTCCGACATATCACAGATGAAGCTGCATCCCGCAGGGGAAGAGAGCAGGGCTTGGGCTTTTTCTTCGCTGGTCATGGTGTTCACACTCCGGCCCGGCACGAATTTATTTGCCTTTACACAGAACGTTGGAGTCCATTTTGGCAGCCGTACCGTCATACCTGCTGCCTTCTTTTGTCACCAACAAACCGGACGACAATTGCAGATAGTCATAGCGTGAGCCCCTCAGACACAGAGCTTTCACTCCCGAGAGCATCACGGAATGGACGCCGCTGTTCCGGTTAAAACACCGAACCCAACCGTTATCTGGATTGGAAACAGTTTCCGCGTTGCAGACGTTGGTGTTCGTAGTCATGAGCGACCATGAATGCCTGCTGCTTGCCCGATAGTATAATGTTTGGTGGACCGTCAGCGTACCGGTATCGGACAGGAGCTCCTCGCAGCGCATGAGCGTTTTTGCCTGTATGTAATTTTTCCCCGGATGTTCCTTCGAATTGTGGGGGGTTTTGAATCTCACCCCAACAGGGGCCGACGGATATTCTGGGGCTGCCTTCCGCTATTGCTTGGTTGAGTTCGTCGGGTGTGCCCTGACGGTCTGCGGCGTTGATCAGGCCGGCATTGGCCAGAAACAATGTCTGCGGAAATCAGCGCAACTAGCGTCGCCATGACGACGTATATTCGCTTTGACTTGAGAGTGTTTGCCATGGTAGAAATCTCTCCTTTGTTTTTGTGTAGAACTGTGAGTGTTCGGGCCGGAACGCTAAAGTGGACCGCAAACGAAGCCGGGCGATATGTCAACCCTGCTCTCATTCCCATTTATCAGGAATTAACTGCCGGGCAACTGGACAGACCGAGACCGGTTACGTATTGTTAAGCTGCCTCGGATTCGCCGCGACGCTGAATGAGGAAATGCTGTAAACATGGCTGGTCCACTCAACGCCTTTGTTCCCGAAAGTACCGCCCACCTGGCCGGCTCTGATGCCGGTCCATTGTCCGGTCTCACCTTCGCGGCCAAGGATATCTTCGACATCGCGGGGCACGTCACCGGCTGCGGGAACCCGCATTGGCTGGCTACCCACGGCCCCGCCGAATCCACCGCCTGGGTGGTGCAACGACTGGTAGAGGCCGGGGCGTCCATGGTGGGCAAAACCATCACCGACGAGCTGACGCGCGGGATCTTCGGCGAGAACATGCACTATGGGACCCCGGTGAATCCGAGGGCCTCGGGCCGGGTACCCGGCGGTTCCTCCAGCGGCTCCGCCTCCGCTGTCGCCGGCGAGCTGGTGGACTTCGCCCTGGGCTCGGACACGGGCGGTTCGGTACGAGTTCCATCGAGTTTCTGCGGACTGTTCGGTTTGCGGCCCACGCACGGGCGCATTCCGCTGGAGGGGATGCTGCTCCAGGCCCCGACCTTCGACACCATCGGCTGGTTCGCCCGGGATGCGGAGACCTTCGCCCGCGTGGGTTCGGTCATTTTCCCACCCGGCCCAGCGACCCAACGCCCGCAGCGCCTGGTCATCGCCGAAGACGCCTTCGAGCTCGCCGAACCGGCCACGCGCCGGGCTTTGGAAGGTGCGCTAGATACGATAGCTCCGCGGTTCACCACGTCCTCGACACTGCGACTCGCACCCTCCAGCCTGGAGGAGTGGTCGGGCCACCAACAGGTTCTGCAGAGCCGCGAGGCGTGGGAGTCCGCCCGCGACTGGATCGACCAGGTCAACCCGGTATTCAGCTTTGAGGTTTCTGATCGGTACGCCCTGGCCCGTTCGGTTACCGACGATCAGATCGTGGTCGCCCAAGCCGGCCGCGACGCCGTGGTTGACCGCATGAACGAGGTTTTCGACGGCGGAGACGTTGTGATGTGCCTGCCGACCACCGTGTCCCCGGCGCCGTTGGCAGGCCAGCGCGTTTCCGAGCGCCACACCCTGCGCCTGCGCAACAGCGCCCTGACTTCGATAGCCGGAAACACCGGCCGCCCACAGATCAGTTTGCCCCTGGCCGAAATTGACGGCCCGCCCGTCGGCCTGTCGCTGCTGGGAGACTACGGGGCCGACGAGCAATTGATCGAGTTGGCGCGGGAGATTTCGGCCGCCGCCGTCACTTGTTGAGGACGACGTCGATCAACGCGATGCGACCTTCGTTGACCGCGGCCAGGCCGTTACGCAGGGCCTGGGCCAAATCGGCGGGATCCTCCACCCGTTCGCCGTAGCCGCCGAATGGTTCCACCAGCTTGGCGTAGTCGGGCCCCGGGATATGGACGCCGTGCCAGATATCCGAGCGCGCGGCGACGCCGTCGGGGTAGTAGGCCAGATGGTTGCCGCGCATAGCCTCGTAGCATTCGTTGTTGAACAGCACGGTCATGAAGGGCAGATTGGCTTCGCGGGCGACCCCGAAGCATTGGGTCACCGGGTTGTAGAGAAAGCCGCCGTCGCCCATGAGCGCGACAATCGGCTGGTCGGGCTTGGCCAGCTTGACGCCCAGGGCGAGGCCCAAACCCTGACCCAGGCCGCCGTTGGTCTTGAAGTAGCTCTGAGGCTTATCCCAGCCCACGTGTCGCCCGATGGTTCCGCGATGGGTGGTCACCTCCTCGGCGTATACCACATCATCCGGCATTACCTCGCTGAGTACGGCGCATAGCCAGGCGGGATCGATGGGCCGGCTACCGCTGGCGGCGGCCTCGGCGGCTCGGGTCGCCTCGGCGAGGCGGTCGTGCTCTTCGGCCCAGCGCTTTCGTCGCGCTTCAATCTCGTCTTTCTGCTTGGCCGCCGCCGGACGCAAAGCGTCGGCCAGTAGACCCAACCCGATGGTGAGGTCACCCTCGACGTAACGGTCGGCGAACAGGTTCTGATACACCATGTATTCCTTGACCGTGGTCTCTCCCATCGCCACCACGGTAGCGTCTCGGGGGCCGTCCTGGGGCGGGTACCACGGGGCGCGGCTGCCGGCGAGGATCACCAGGTCGGCCTGCTGGATATACCGTTCCGACTGGCCGCCCAGGTACAGCGGGTGGTTTTTGGGGAAGTTGGCGTACAACGCGGCGCTTTCCACTACCGGTATGGCGAACAATTCGGCCAGGGCCACCAGGTTGTTGAATCCTGCGATCTCGCGTCCGGCGCAGTCGGTGATGATCAGCGGCGACTTGCTCCTGGAAACCAGATCAGCCAACTCGGCGATGTCATTCTCCGAAGGTCGTACCTTCGGCGCGTGAGGGACGGCCCGGAGTTTGTTCGGCGGCGTCCACTGGTGCACCATAGTTTCGATGGGGATGTTCATGAAGGACGGCCCCTGGGGGACACGCTGGGCCAGCTCGCCCGCCCGCACCAGTTGCTCGTACACCGTGTGCGGGCTCGTGGCCCTACCGCTCCACTTGGTGAAGGCGTCGGCGAACCGGTCCGGTCCGCCCACCACGCTGAGGCTGCGGTACCACTGGGCCTGGGGGTCGAGCTCCGGATTCTCGCCGTAGCTGGTCGCTTCGCCGGAGCACACCAGCATGGGCACCTCTCCGATCATGGCGCCGTGTACACCCATGCTGCCCTGCAGCAGACCCACGCCGGCGTGGAGCAGCACCGCCTGCATCTGTCCGGTGACCCGCGTGTACCCGCTGGCCATGTTCACGGCCAGAGTTTCGTGCCAGCAGTTGATGTACCGCGGGCCGGGCGTTTCGTTGATCTGCTGGCGTGCCAGCGCTTCCCACACCGGCGCCCATTCGGATCCCGGTGATGAGATTATGTAGTCGATGCCGAGGTTGCGGAATGCTTCGAGGATCCCCTCGCCACAATCCTGCGTGGTGGTGCTGGTCATGATCAGTCCTCCTGGCCTTGGCTGGCGGCGGGTCGCAGCGCGGGTTCCCGGGGGGCTGGCGCGGAAACCGCCTGGCCCTCGCGATCGGTGGGTAGAGCTGACAATAACAGCGCCACCAACAGGGAGCCCAACATGGTGAAGAAAGCGTATCTCATGCCGACGGTGAAAGCGGTTCCGACCCCGCTGGCGGTCCCGTGGCGCACCGCATCCAGGCTGGGTTCGTAGCCCAGTGAGCCCATGGTCGCGGTAATAACGGCCGTGGCAACGGCGACGCTGACGACGTTGCCCGCGTTACGGATCAGGTTGACGAGGCCCGAGATCACCCCGTGGCTTTCCTGTTCGACGGCGCTCAGGATAGAGCTGGAGTTGGGAGAGTAGAAAGTGCCCATCCCGCTGCTGGTCAGCATGAGGGCCGGTATCACGTGAATCAGCGAGGATTCGGGTCCGACACGTGCAAGTATCGCGATACCCGTACACGACAACGCGAGGCCAGCTACCGTGAACTTGCGCCAGCCGTACCGATCAGATAACCGGCCGCTCAGCGGTCCCAGTGTGGCCATACACAGGGCGCCTGGAACCACCGCCAAGCCGGCAACTGATGGCCGGTAACCCAGGACGTTCTGCAGGTAGAACGGGGTCATGAACATAACCGCTGAACTGCCCATGAACATCAGGTAGTTGGCCGTTGCACCCAGAAAGAAATTCCGGCGGCGGAACAGCCGTAGTTCCAGCATGGGGCCGGTACAGCGCAGTTCCCACCAGATGAAAACGGATAACAGGACGACGAACGCCACGGCAGCGGCAATAATCGGCGGGGAAGTCCATCCGGTGCGGTGGGCATTGGTGATGCCCAAGAGCAACGCCAGCAGGGCGCCGGACGACAAACAGGCTCCCAGCCAGTCAAACCCACGCCGACCCGAGCCGCGAACCGGGTGCGGTTGGTCGGCGCTGCTCAGAACGGCCACGCACATGGCGACGCTCACGACCACCATGGGAACGGTGGCAAAGAACACCGACCGCCACCCGAAAGCGTCTACCAGGACGCCGCCCAACGCCGGGCCGGCGACGGCCCCGGTTCCGACCATGGTCATTATCAGGCCGATGGCCTTGCCCCGCTCGTTGGGGGGGAACGCGCCGATCATGATAGCCATGCCGGTGCCCTGGGTCATGGCGGCGCCGGTGCCCTGGACGAGACGCGAGACAATGAGCACCCCCAGGTCGTTGGACGTGCCGGCGACGATGGAACCAACGACGATCACACAAGAACCGATGATGTACACCCGTTTCGAGGTGATAAGGTCTGCCAGCCGGCCCATGGGCAGGAGCAGCGCGATGATCGTCATTGCGTATCCGATCACCAGCCACTGCACGCTGGGAATGTCGGTATGAAAGTAGGTCGCGATGGTCGGCAGCGCGACGCCCACGCTCCCGTGGTCGACCACGGACGCGAAGGTGCCCACCGCCAAGGTACCGAAGGCGTACCACTTATAGTGGGGACTTCGGGTTAGCGATGCAATCACGACTGCTTTACCGTGTCATCCTGAAGTAGCGGTTACTCGCCGGCGAAAAAGCGTCGGGGATTTTCCACGGTGATCTGGTGAATGTCCGCGTCCGACGCTCCCATTTCCTTCAGCCGGGGCAGCACGTAACGGGGGATGAAGTTGTAGCCGTCCGGGTTGGCCCGTTGCCGCTGCTCCTGCACCTCAGCGCCATGACGCGCCTTGGGCACGGAATAGTCGTGGGAGAGAAAAATGCGGTGGGTGAAACCGGCATCCATCAACGCTTTGGCAACTTCCGTCCGCTGCTCCCAGTTCGGCGTTCCCGGGCGCAGTCCACCGGGATAGCGGTCCAAACCCAGCCACACGCCCTTGTTCAGCAGCCCCAGCAGGTACTCTAGGTCAGTGTCGTCGTTGCTGTGCCCAATGTACACGCGGTTCAGGTCAACGCCCTCTTCCTCGAGGATGGCGACCTGCGCCGCGCCGATCCGCTCGGGGGACCAGGTGTGTGTTGAGATGGGAGCGCCCGTAGCCTTCTGGGTGCGCGCGGCAGCCCGCAGCACCACCTCCTGAGGCGGAGTTATGCCGCCCTCGTCGCTGGCCACCTTGATGATGCCGGCTTTGATTCCGGTTCCCTCGATCCCCTCTTCGATCTCTCGCACGTACATCTCGGCGATGACATCCGGTGACACATCGCCGAAGGGACGCGGGACCGCGAGATGGTTGCCCGTCGCCGCGATGATGTGCATCCCGCTCCCCAGCGCAACTTCCCGCATCAACTGCACATCCCGCCCCAGGTCGAACGTGCTCACGTCCACTATCGTGCGGACGCCATCGGCGTGTACGGCCCGCATCGCTGCGATGGACTGCTCACGGATGCCGTCGCGGTCGATGAATTCAGGATAGGTATGGCGCAGGCCGGCAGCGTTGGTGCCCACGTGTTCGTGGCTTAGGGTGAACCCCAGATCGTCAATATCGATGGGCCCCATCACGGTGTTCACGGTCGGCATTGCCATCCCTCCTGGCCACGGGTGAATGCGAGTATTCTATTACGATTTCCGCCAAAGCGATACGCGAGAAACGCGCGGGGAGTGCAACAACGTTGTCCGCCCACAGCCGGCAATCCGGTGGAGACGAGCGCTTCCAGCCGGCGACCGTTCCAGCCAACGATTGTGCTTGCTAACACCGCTCACGCGTATCCACTTTGCACAATCGGTCATTGCGAGCCACCCCCTGCATTACGAGCCACCCCTCTGTCATTGCGAGCGCAGCGTGGCAATCTGGTCGCTGGAGGGATCCTCGCTGAATTTAACGAGATTGCCACGTCGCTGCGCTCCTCGCGATGACAAAGTCGGTACGCGTGAGGCTACCACCGTGCTTGCTACTCGACGAATGGCGCGTCTATATTGTTCGCAAAACAACCAGGAGGCATCCATGCGTACACCGATCCTGACACGCGACCAGGTACCCGAGGCGCTGCGAGCGGCATTCGACCACGAGACCGCCGATTCCGGCGGGGTGGTTTCCAGCGGTCCCGGGTCCGCCATGATCAACAGTCCTGAGATGCGGAGGCGGGCCAACAATCTCGTCAACTACCTGCGGGATGAGTCTTCGCTGCCCAAGAGACTCCAGGAACTGGCGATGATATTGACGGCGCGCAACATGGACTGCCAGTTCATCTGGCACGCCCACGCGGCGCGGGCCCGGGCCCAGGGCATCAGCGACGAATTCGTGGACAACCTGAGGGACCGCAAAGCTTTGCCGCAACTACCCTCGGATGAACAGACGGTGGTGAACTACGCCGCCGAACTGTTCAGCAACCACCGCGTGACGGAACCAACATTCCAGGCGGCGATTGACCAGTTGGGCGCCCTGGGATTGACGGAGTTGACCACGCTCTTCGGGTACTACTCACTTCTTGCCTTCAACGCCAACGCGTTTGAGATCGACGTGCCTGACGGCGCGGAGCCCAAGCTGCCGATCTAGCGTACTCAAGCCACTTCCGCCGTTGGAAGTGTCGAGCCGGGACCTTGCGCCAGTGGCATTCAGTGTTGCAGGCGGCTGAGCAGGCTGGCGCACCAACGCGAAAATTCCACAACGAAACCGCCCCGGTGATAGAACCGCGCCGGGGCGGACACCGCGGTAACGCTCTCTGAGAGCATGGGTTCCAGCACTCTATCGCGAAACTGTTCGACCAGGGAGCAATCGTCGGTGCACAGGACAACGTCCTGTTGCAGCTCATAGGACAGGAAATCGAAATTGCAACTGCCAATGATCAGTTGTGAGTCATCGACCAGAACCGCCTTGGTGTGACACATTTCCGGTTGATACAGGAAGATTTCGAGATTGGAACCCGAGGCCGCACGGAACAAAGCCTGTTGCAATATCGCCCGGTTGTTGCGGGCAGGACTGATGACCCGAACCCTGACCGACGGCGGCAGTTTGGAGAGGCGCTCCAACAGGGGACCGGAGACGTAGGGCGAAATCACGTCGACCGATTTCCTGGCCCGCGCTATGGTGGCGAATATGTCGTCGTATTGGGCACGGCTGCGACGGCCATCCAGAAAGAATAGCCTGCCCAGTGGGGTTGACTGGACTTGCGAACCGTTGACCCCGCCCAGGGTTCGGTAGAAGTCCTGGGCGAGAGCATCCACCAGAACCGGGCAGTCGCTGCGCATCATCAGGTCGCGCCAAATGAAATTGTGCTCGCTGAGGTTGATACCGCCCAAGAAGCCCTGATCGTCGACGATCATCATTTTCTTGTGGTTGCGGAACGGGTATTTCAGCCACAGCCACCCCATGGGATTGGTAACGACAATTTTAACGCCGTCGCGTTCCGCTTGACGGAGCAGGCGGCGCGTGCCGCGAACCTCGCGGCGAAAGTCCGCGTCGGACACAAACCGCGGACTGCAAATCAGGTCATCACTGATTTTGGCGGTGGAAAAAGCATCGACGCACAGGACCTTTTCGGTCGCCGGGGAACGGACCAGCAGGTCCCAAAAGTGTTGTCCAACCGAGTCCAGTTCGAAGGTCATGACCTGGAACAGCACGCGACGGCGAGCCTCCAGGATTGCCGGCTCTACGGCAGCAACGAACTCCGAGGAATCGATCAGCAGTGACGAATCGTGCACTGGTTACAGTCGGTCAGCGGGACGGGAAACGGGCGGCCAGGACGTCGGCGATCAACCGCGCGGCCACCTGCACCGTCAGGTCGGATACGTCGTATGGCGGAGCGACCTCGACCACGTCGAACGCGACCAAATTGGAGCGGGCCACCAGGGCGGTGAGGCAGCGGCGGCACTCCTCGTAATACAGTCCGCCAACCTCAGGAGTACCGGTGCCGGGGGCCTGGGTCGGGTCAAGCACATCCACGTCGAAGGTGATGTACAGGTTCGACCCAACCGGCAAACTGTGGGCCACCGATTCGGGCCCCATGTCTCGAAATTGCTTTGTGGTCACGATGGTATTGCCGTGAGCCCGGGCCTCCTCGTATGGCGCACGCCTGACGGTGCGGATCCCAACTGACGAAATGGACGCCACGTGTTCCAGTTCATGGCAGCGGCGTATGGGGCTGCCGTGGGTCAGCGTCGTTCCCTGATAGTCGTGCGTGTAATCCAGGTGGGCGTCGAAATGCACGATGTCCAACGGGGAGAACCGGCCGAGGCCGGCCACCGCGGGAAAGGTGATCGCGTGGTCACCGCCCAGGATTACGGGCAGCGCCCCGCGCTCCGCAATTCGCGCCACAACGCCGGCCAGCCGCTCGAAATTGTGCACCACGTCGGACGGGTTCACGGTCACGTTCCCGCAATCCGCCATGGTGATGCCGCGCAATAGTTCGTCCCCAGCATCGGCATCGAAGAAACCCTCGGCGTCCTTCCCCTGGCCGTAAGGGTCCAGGTATGAATAGGCCCGCGGCGCGTCCCGAAGCGCGTCAGGCCCGAAGCGGGCGCCTGGGCGTCCGAACGTTCCTTGATCGAAAGGCATCCCGACGAATGCGATGTCGGCGTCCAGTTCATCAATATCAGCGCAGCGAGGCGACCGGAACATGGTCCGCGGACGACCGTCCAGCGGCGGGACATCGCCGGACGACGCGCCGGGCAGATACTGTGGTCCAATGTTGAAGTTCGATGCGGTCATGTCAGTCAGCTCACCGTGTCGCGCAAGACCGCGACGGCGAAAGAGGGTACCACGGTACGGCGATGGCCCCACGTCTGTTGGGATTGTTGATTATACTTGACCCCATTCGTTGAAAGGTGAGGAGATTGCCATGGCACGACTTGAGGACTATCAGAACCGGTTCCGGTTCGCCAAATTCGAGCGGGAGGACGGGATCCTCCAGATGACGCTGCACAGCGACGGAGACACCCTGCAGTGGGGCGCCGGCCCGCACACCGAACTACCGGAGGTGTTTCACACCATCGGGACCGACCCGGAGAACAAGGTGATCATCATGACCGGGGCCGGCGAGGGTTTCACCGGCCCGGCCGGCAGCAGCGACACCGTGCCGCGCCGCACGCCCGAGCAGTGGGACGCCACCTACTGGGAGGGAAAGCATCTGCTGGGCAATCTGCTGAACATCGAGGTTCCCATAATAGCGGCCATCAACGGGCCCGCATTGCGGCATTCGGAACTACCGCTGCTCAGCGACATCGTCCTGGCCGCGCCGCACACCACGTTCCAGGATTCGGGCCATTTCATGAGCGGGCTAACTCCGGGCGACGGAATGCACATCATCTATCCGTTGCTGCTAGGAATCAACCGAGGCCGCTACTTCCTGCTGACCGGCCAGCTGCTCGACGCGGAAAAGGCGCGGGAGTTCGGGTTGGTTGCCGAGGTGCTGCCGGCGGACGAATTGCTGCCACGGGCCTGGGAGTTGGCAAGGGAATTGGCGCAGCAGCCGCGCCTGGTGCTGCGCTATTCGCGTGTGCTATTGACCCACCAACTGAAGGGCATCCTGCACGACATATTGGGCTACGGCCTGGCGCTGGAGGGACTGGGTTCTGCTCAGGATTACCTCGACCGCGGGGCCGGGCGCTGATTGGATCAGCCGGGGGCTCCGGCCATTTTGCGCGGCGGCGTCGCCGTGAGCATGAGCGCGGCGGTGCAACCATAGATGCCCAGCAGGGTCCACCACGCCAGCAGGTACGATCCGGAATAGTCGTGCAGATAGCCGACCAGCGGCGCGCCCAGCCCAGCGGTCAGGAGATTGATCGGCATCACGATGCCCCGAATGGTTCCCAGGAAGGCGCGTCCGTAGTAAGCGGCGAAGATGTAGGTGTGCACGATCATCCCAACACCCACGGAACTGCCGAAAACGACGGTGGACAGGAACATCATCTGCACCGACGACACATAGATCATCAGCAGGATGGCGACGAGGAACCCCGAGAACGATACGGCAGCGAGGAACCGGATGGGCACACGGTCGGCCAACCAGCCGGCGACCAGGGAGGCGGCCGCCGCTGCGCCGGCATCCGCCGCGAATGACCAGGAGACCGTCAGCGGGTCGTAAGCCTTCTCGACGAAGTACGCAATCCGATGAAAGCTCGCTCCACCCTGAGCCACGCCGGACAAGGCGAAAACGGCGACCAGTTTCCACATCGTCCCGGTGCGGAAAGCCTCCCGCACCGTCCACATCACTTCCGCGTCGGATTGGGCGGGCGCAGACGCCCGGAGACCCGGTTCGGGTGAGGCAGCGGGCGGATCGCCGTCCACTTGCAGACCCATATCCTCCGGTTGGCGGCGCAGAAACAGGGCCGCCGCCGGCACGGAGATAACGAGGAATAGCAGGGCCAGGATGCGCCAGGTACCTCGCCACCCGTAGAGGTCAATAAGCCACTGCGTCACCGGCAGCAAGATGATGCCCCCGATGCCGAGCCCGGCCCCGGCGAGGGCCAGGGCGCGCCCGCGCCGGCGGACAAACCACTTGGCGACCGGTACCGACGTCACGATGCCGTTGGGCGCGGCCAGGCCGGACACTCCGATGAGTCCAAAGAACAGGATCAATTGCCAGGCGTGGCTGCTGATACTCACCAGCAACAGGCAGCCGCAAATCATCGCCGCCGAGACTGGTATGTAAGCGCGAGGGCCATACCGGTCGATCAGCCAACCCACGGCGAAACTGAAGACGCCGGTGGTCAGACGCCGGGTGGTCTGCATCCAGCCGAAGGTGGCCCGGGACAGCGCCAGGTCCTGCTGCATCGGCAGGACGAAGAGACCGTAGTTCAGGGTACCGGTCGCCATCGTCGAGAAGTTGACGGCGAACATGGCGGCAACGATCACCCATCCGTAGTAGAACCGTGGCCTCACGGGGGAATGTTCGGGTTCCGGTGACATCACATAAGTAAACGCAGGGGCGAATGATCGTCCGCCCCTGCGCTCAACAACGGCTCTCCGATTTTAACGGAGCAATGCGATCAGATCGCCTGCCAATAGCGTCGGCCCTGCAGGCGCACGATTTTCCCGAACCCGGGCGCGGGCAAGTGCACCGCCGCCACCGGCAATCCCTCGCTCTCCAACCGGTCCAGCACGGATTGCCGGGTGGCGATGGCTTGTTCCGGGATGATGTCGGCGCGGGAGGCCCAGTCGGTCTGCTGAATCTGCGCCGTGTTGTGCAGCACGTCACCCAGGATGAGGGCTCGCTCCCCGCCGGAGTTGACCATGATGCTCATGTGTCCCGGGGTGTGGCCGGGGGTGGGCAACGTTGTCAGATCGCCGGTGATGCTGAACTCGCCTTCCATCAACTCCACTAAACCCATGTCGACCAGGGGCCACACGCAATCGGGAGCGTTCGGGTATCGGTCAGGCTGTAGAGCCGGGTCATGGCTGGCATCAAGGTCAACCTTGCTGAAGTAATACCGGGCGTTGGGGAAGGTCGGCTTCAGGTTGCCGCCGTCGTCGCGAACGGTGTTCCAGCCGACGTGGTCACGGTGGAGGTGGGTCATCACCACCGCGTCGATTTCGTCGGGGGACAGGCCGTTGCGGGCCATGTCGTCCAGCAGTTCGCCCCAAGGAGTCTCGGGGGTGTCCTTGGCTCCCAGGCCGGTGTCGATGGCGATGTTCTTGCCCTCGGAGCGCACCAGGAAACAGGCCAGGTTGAAGCTCACCTTGCGATCGGGCGTCAGATGGTCGTGGAAGGGTTCCCACTCCGATGCCGGAATGTCCGGGAAGAAGTTGCAGATGTCAAACTCCAGTAGGCCGTCGGACAACGAAGCAATCTCCACGTTGCCGATGGTAATCTTGCTGGCAGCCATAGTCCCTCCAGATGCCGTGGATTGGCGCATTCTACCATCGCCCGGCGCCATGCACTGGGCACATAGCCGGCACGTCGGATAGAATTCCAGACCGTCCGGTCGTATGGGGCGATGACAAAATGGGCGCGAATACCAGTCCACAGCTATATGCCAGGTTGACCGCATTGGCCGTTGGCCTGATCGATGGTTTGTGCCAAACCGTCTGGGCGCGGGTCGTCGGGATGAACTGCGGCGCCCTCGTTGGGCGGCGGCCCTATATTTTGGCTTGGCGTTCGCCACCGTGTTCCTCATCTTGGGCGCAATTGCCACGGAGGCGCAGTACGGTAAAGCGCTGGGGCGGTGTACATTGTCGGTTGCCGTTCTGCTAATCGCGGGATTGCTCCTTTGGATTCGCTGCGAGTATCGAGGGTGTCCCACAGCCAACACAGTTCCTGACAGCGAACGATGGACGCGCTCGGACCGAGGGTGGTACACCTTACGCAGGTGACCGCCCATGAGTGTCAACAACCCGCCAGAACCAGGCTTCGGCGAAACAAGGCGAGATCGCGAGGTACCGCACCGGATTCTGCCGATCACCGAAAAGCAATTGGCGCGCCTTTGGCAGCGGCGGGCGGCGCGTAGCCGGGCGCTTCGAACCGAACGAGGGCGCCGGATCCAGGTGCTGTACCCGGGGCGCCCGGGCGTCACCGCGGGACCCGATTTCAGAGACGCCCTGCTGCTGATTGAAGACCAGGGCCTCGTACAGGGAGACGTGGAAGTCCATCTGCGACAGCACGACTGGCGGTCGCACGGCCACCAGGACGATCCCAACTACAACGGCGTGGCGCTGCACGTCGCGCTGGAGACAACCGGCCCGATGTCGCGCACGTCAAGCGGCGGCACGCCTCCGTTGGTCGATTTGCAAAGCCTGCTGGATGTTTCATCCGATGAAGACGCGTCAGACCAAACCAGGGATCACCTGTGGCGGTTGCTCGAAGCACACGGGTACAGACGGCCCGACACGGCCGAGCGGATGGCCGCCTTACTCAACCGTGCGGGCGACGAGCGGTTCCTGGGGCGCAGCAGTATCCTTCAGGAATTGATGTCGGTGCAATCCCCGGCGCAGACGCTGTGGGAATCGATATGCGAGGCTTTGGGCTATCGGCACAACCAGCACGCGTTTCTGCAACTCGCATCCGCTGCCCCAATCGACGTGTTGATTACCATGGCACGGCGATTGCCTCAGGGACAGCGGAGCAAGGCGTTGGCCTCCGCGCTGCTGGATGTCGCCGGGTTGGGGGATGGTGCGAAGCGCGGGACGTGGGGCGGAACTATGGGCGAGTTGGGGCTGCCGTTGGACGTGAGCCAGTGGAAACTATTCCGAGTGCGCCCGTCCAATCATCCCCGCCGAAGGGTGGCCGGGGCCGCGCAGTTGTTGGCCCGATTCACGGACGCCGGACTGCATACCGGGTTGGCGAATGCGGCTGCCTCGGGCAATCCGACCACTTTGACCAAGGCACTGACCGTGGGGAACAGCACCGATGGCGGACCGGCTTTGATCGGATCCGGCAGGGCCAAGGACATCTCCGTCAACGCGGTGTTGCCGTTCCTGCACGGATGGGCGACGCTGGCCGGGAACACGGTCGCCGGGAACACACTCGAAGCAACCGCGATGTTGGAACTGTATCGACGTTACGGCCGGCTCATGGAGAATGAGGTCACCCGTGAACTGGCGTCGGCGCTGCAATCCCCGGAATGGGGGCGGGTTGCCCGGAACGCCCGACAACAGCAAGGGTTGATCCACCTGCAGCGATTGCTTGCCGGGGCCGCCGCCTCATAACGTCTGCGGGGGCGACGCTGACGCCGCCCCCGCAGGAAATCCTCTCGCATCCGCGACGCGATCACTTCAGAGGCACTGCCAGGGACACGCGAGGTTCTTCACCGACGTTGCGTATGATGTGCCCGTGGCCGGTCAGGTCCTCGGCAACCAGGACATCGCCCGGGCCAAACTGGCGCTTGGCCCCGCTGGCGACCTCGATCTCGGCGCCGCCCGACATGAACACGACATACTGGTGCCTGGGCGCGGTGTGGTAATCCTGCCACCATCCGGCAGGCCGCTGGCCGACCGTAAAATCGCCGGGGCCAACTTCGTTGGCGATATCGGCAAACTGGTCGGCGGTCAGGTCTTCAAAATGCGATTCGCCGTCGTCGCCGTCGTAAATGCGAACAATCATGACGCCATTCCTCCAGGCTTACGGTCTAGCCCTCGGCAAGGGGAACCGCCAGGGAAACGCGGAAATCGTCCCCGATGCTGCGGGCGATGTGTCCATGGCCGGTCAAATCTTCGGCGACCAGAACATCGCCTGGGAACATACGCACCACAGTGCCGTCAGCAACCTCAAACTCGGCAATGCCGTTCATGTTCACGACGTATTGGCGGCGCGGGGCATTGTGGTAATCGGAGAAACTCGGGGATTCTCGGCGCCCGACGTTGATGTCGCCGGGACCAACGTTGTTGGCGATCTCGGCGAACTGATCCGGAGTAATGTGTTCGAAATGGCTCTCGCCGTCGCTACCGGTGTATACGCGCACTATCTGTCCCATAGGGATTTGCCTCCTGTGTTGTGAAAAGGTGAACGGACGGCGGGTCAGCCCGCCAGAGGGACGACCGCGGTGAGGCTTGGCACGTCACCGACCACGCGGGTGGTGTGTCCCTGGCCGGTGGTATCTTCGACCAAGCGGGCGTCACCCGGCCCGTAGCGGAAAGTAGTTCCGTCACCGAGGCCGATCTCGATCTCGCCGCTGAGGGAGATTATGTACTGTCGGCGCGGGGCGGGGTGCCAATCGATGAAGTTCCCCGGCGCTGATCCCTGAAGGTGATGGATTGGGCCGCTTGGGCTTCGCCCAGTTCCGGATGGTCGGCGAGGCTGGTCTCTTCAATATGCGACTGACCGTCGTCACCGGCGTAGAGTCGAAAAATCGCCATGGATACACCTGCTGAAACGGGCCGAGTCGCCCAGAGTGAGGCCATCTTACCCGTCAGTTGGTGTTGGAGCAACCTACGCCGGCGGGATCTCCGCGCAATCGCGTTTGGAATTCAACGGCCGTTCACTTCGGGAATAACCGGAGGCAGGAGGCCACAAATGGAGTCGTCGGCGACGAAACTGGCGACTTCGATCGCTGGGTTCCAGTTTTCCCGGGAACGGCGGCGGCGCGCGAGGGTACCAGGGCAGCCGCATTTGGAATGCGATTGCACGGTGGCTCGGCGCAGGGCAATCGCGTCTTAATAGTATTTTTAGAAATGTGCTAACGTGCCATGATCCGTTGAACCAAATGGAGGCAGTGAGGCATGGCACAACCACCCAAAACAACTATTCTCGATCATTTCGCTGACCTGGACGACCCACGGGTGGAACGCACCCGACGCCATAAGCTGGTGGACATCATTGCCATTGCCATTTGTGCCACCATCTGCGGCGCCGATTCCTGGGTCCACATAGAACTCTTCGGCAAGAGCAAGCTGGCCTGGTTTCAGACCTTCCTGGAATTGCCCCACGGTATCCCATCCCACGACACCTTTGGCGATGTGTTCGCCCGCCTGGACCCAGTGCAGTTGCAGAATAGCTTCGTATCCTGGACCCAGGCCATCGCCGAGTTGCTGCCGGGTGAGGTGGTGGCCATTGATGGCAAGACGGCTCGACGGTCCTATGATCCGGCGGGGAACAAGGGAGCCATACACCTGGTCAGCGCCTGGGCCACGCAGAATAACCTGACCCTGGGCCAGGTCAAGACTGAGGAGAAGTCCAATGAGATCACCGCCATCCCACAACTGCTGGAAATGCTGGACTTGAATGGCTGCATCGTAACTATCGATGCCATGGGCTGCCAGCGGGAGATCGCCCAGCAGATCACCGCGGGCGGGGCCGACTACGTGCTGGCGGTGAAGGAGAACCAGGGCCGGTTGCATGAGGGTATCCGAGACCTGTTCCAGGGAGCTGAGGCCTGGGGTTTTGACGGGGTGCCTTACGATTACGCACGGACCGTGGACAAGGGACACGGACGGGTGGAACGGCGGGAATGCTGGACCATCACGGCGACGGACTGCCTGGATTATCTGGACCCCCAGGGGCAATGGTCCCAACTGAAGGCGGCCGTCAGGGTGGTGGGCCATCGTCAAACTGGAGCGGGTGGCATAAGTCAGCCCCGCTACTACATCAGCAGCCTGCCAGCCCCAGCAGAACAACTCCTGGCTGCCATCAGAAGCCACTGGAGCATCGAAAACTCGCTGCACTGGACCTTGGACGTGACCTTTCGGGAAGACCAGTGCCGAGTGCGCAAGGACCATGGACCGCAGAACCTGGCCACGCTGCGGCAGATTGGGCACAACCGGTTGAAAAACGAAAGCACCTTGAAAGTAGGCATTCAGGGCAAGCGGCTCAACGCCGGATGGGACGAGGACTACCTGCGCAAAGTCCTCCTCGGATAAGACGCGATTGCCCTGTGGCTCGGCGCTGCCGTTTGCTGGCGCACCGTGCCGGTGTTATCATGATTGGCAGCGTCGCACCACTTGGGCGACGGTTTTGGAATGGGGACGCGTAGGTTCGACAGGAGCGGTTTCTGACGGATTGCAGGCCGAGGTTGCTGCTGCCCTCGTTAAAACAGTGGCGAACAAGTAACTGGCGAACGTGAATTCGCTCTAGCCGCCTAGTAGCGGCTACGTCTGCCACCGGTAAGCCCGGAAGCCGGGACGCGGACGTATAATTATTCCGGGATGCTACCTCAGGGACACCGATACCCGAGGCCATAGATTTTATCGGCTGGCGACTGTTGAATCCTGTCGGCGGGAGTCTTCAGTAGCGAGATTAAATCGCCGGACACGCTTGTAGCATATCCGATTAGGGGAGTTTCTGGACGGGGAGTGCGACTCTCCCCCGTCTCCACCATCCCTTCTAAATTCCCCATACGGGGTGGGCCAAATCTCCACGTCTTCGCGATCATCCGTTGCTCGCAACAATGCCGTGAAGGCATTCCTTGGTCTCAACCCCACGACTTCGTGGTTTTCCAAGTCGATATAGATGCTGTGGAAAATCGCTAACAATAGCCGATTGCGCTGGCCAGGATTGGACGCTTTCCAAAGGTCCTCCAGCTCATTGAGAATTTTGACCGCCTGAACCGCGTCGTCCAATTCTGGTACATAGATGGTAGTCAGCTCACCCTCCGTGTTCTCTTTGATGACTAAGAGGGTGTGTGACAAATAGGATCAGCAAGGCTGGAGCCGTTTGAGCATCAGGTTGACCATGGCGACATGCACCCATGCTTCGCTGCTCTCTGGGCGCTCCTCGTAGTCTTTGCTCAACCGTCGGCATCGGCTCAGCCAGGCCAGGGTGCGCTCCACCACCCACCGCCGGGGCAACACCTCGAAGTGGTGGCTGTCGGGTTTGCGCTTGACTACGGTCAGCAGCCAACCACCGGTGGCCCAGGCCCACGACACCAGTCGGCCAGCGTAGCCAGCATCGGCCCAGATCACCTGCAACCGGGGGAACCGCCCCAACAGTTTGACCAGCACCAACTTGGCGCCGTCTCGGTCCTGAATGTTGGCGGGATGAACCACCACCGCCAGCAGTAATCCCATGGTGTCCACCACGATGTGCCGCTTGCGTCCAGTTACCCGTTTGCCCGCGTCGTAACCCCGCGGCCCCCTTTTTCGGTGGTCTTGACCGACTGGCTGTCAATGATGCTGGCTATCAATGATGGCCGCGCTGGGCGTAACCTCCCGTCCCGCAACTTCCCGAACCCGGGCCCGCAAGGCTTCCTCCACCCGTTCCCAGGTGCCGTCATCTCGCCACTTCCGGAAGTACCACCAGACGGAAGTACCACCAGACTGTGCCCCAGGGCGGCAAGTCATGGGGCATCAGACGCCGGGGTATGCCGCCGCGCAGCACGTACATGTAAAGGACGGAGAGAAAATGTACCGCGTGGGCGGCCCGATCGCCGATTCGGGTGTTGTTGTCCAGCGATTCTGTCAGTTTAAATGGAAAGCGACTTTGTCAGTCTGAGCGGTTGATGGCTGGTTGAAATGATCCGCTGACGCCACGGTTGATGGGGAGATTGGTCGGCTGGGTGAGGGAGCGGGCGTACTTACGGACAGTGTTGCGGTGTACGCCCAGTTGACGTGAGATCTCGCGCAGGGATAGACCCTGGGCCTGGGCCTGCTGCACCGCCTTCCAGAGGGCCAGCTGTCGCGGGGTGAGTTCCCGGCGGGATGGAGGTTCACTGTGATGGTTCTCGACCGCCGGTTCCTCGACGACGGGATCGGGCTCCAGGTTGGCCAGGTGTCGCAGCTGGGGTTGGCTGACGCGATGATTGCCCAGGCGTTTCACGATGCGGCCGATTTCTGGGTTGGGAGCCAGAGCGCCGTGGGAAGCGCGCAGTGCACCGGGTCGGGGCGGCGCTGGCCGGCAGGGGATGATCTCACCCTCATGGCGTACTTGGAGGCGGCCATCGGTGTGTTCGAGGACTTCCACCTGGACACCGGCGTAGCTGGGACGCTCCCGGCTGGGCAGCAGTTGCAGGGTGCGCCACTGGTACTTGACCGTGTTGTCCCGAGCCACCTTGCGGGTGCGCTTGAAGCAGAGGATTTCGTCCAAGGGCCGCTTTCCGTGCCACGGGCGGTAGGCAGGCTCCGGCAGATCGGCCGGGACAGCAAACCATGTGTTATAGCGGGGCAGGAAGTCCCTGAGCATGGCATTGGCCTGGTCTATGGTGCTGGCGCCGGCGAGACGCAGTTCGGTCACCAGCCGGTCCTGAAAAGTGCCGGCGGCACGTTTCCACTCGGCCTTTGGCCTGGGGCGAGCGGGCGAAGATCTGCTGGATGCCCAGCTCCACCAGGGCACGGCTGAAGTGGGTGGCTTCCACCGGCGGCTGGATGTGCCTCGGTTTGCCGGAGAATTTGAACACGCCGTGGCGGTCGCTGTACAGGGCGGTGGGTACGCCCCAGCGTTCGATCAGTCCCCTGCATCAGGATGAAGTATCCCCGAGTGTCCTCCTCGGGACAGAACACCGCGTTGGCCACGGCGCTGGTGGCGTCGTCAACCGCCAGGAGCAGGGTGAATTGGGGACCGTCCTCGCCCAGCCACCGGTGGAAACTGCCGTCGATCTGCACCAGCATCCCGGCCTGAGGCATCCGTTGTCGCCGGACCCGATGCTTGGGCGCACGCCGTTTGCGCGGGCTCGGGATGCCTGCCTTGGTCAGAATGCGCCGCACGGTGGGCCGGCTGAGGTCGATGCCCTCCCGGTCCCGGAGCAACTCGGTGAGGTGGGTGTGGTTGGCGCCAGCGTAGGTGGTGCTGGCCAACTGGATCACCGCGGCTGCCTCATCGTCAGAAACAGCGTTGCGGGGTCGGCGGCCTCGGTTCCCGTGGGCCAGTGCGGCGGCGCCCTCCTTGCGATAGTCCGCCAGAATTCGCCAGGCATGGCGTTCACTCACCCCCAGGATCTCGGCAGCCTGGGCTACCGGTAGCTGGTGTTCGAGTACTGAGTTGAGCACGTGGAGTCTCGTCTGTTCTAGCTGGTTCAATGTCAAGTCCTTCATAGACTGACATTTTCCCTGATCAGTTAGCTACTGACTGAATCATAGACCATCGACAAAGAGGCACTTTACGTAATGACCCTTGAGCGAACCAAGATGGGCATCATTGGAGACCATGGGGGACAATGGCGGAGTTCCGTGAACGTCGATGGCAGACTTCCGTTCAAAGTCTGCCATTCCTAAACTAAAGCCAAGGTGAAATGCGCAGATGGTGGGGGGTCAAACGATGGAGCCGGGTCGTTCCCCAAGTACGGATGAGAAGGATTCACGGGCTTAACCCAGCTGATCATCATCGCCACTTAAATGTACATCCCATCTTGGCTTTAGAACCCCTAACAGAAAGAGGTCCAGCGTCGGAAGCAGATGAGGGAACACCCGATGGACAGGAAGGCTTCATGAATGTCGGCGCGGCGCTGGTAGCGCACCCGCAGCCGGCGGAACTGGTGCAACCACCCCAGGGTCCGTTCCACCACCCAGCGGTACACTCCCAGCCCGCTGCCGTGTTCCGCGCCCCGCCGAGCCAGGGAGGGCGCTATGTGGCGCCTGCGCAATTCCTGGCGCTGCTGCCGGGAGTCATAGGCCCGGTCGGCGTACAGCCGCTGGGGCCGGCGACGGGGACGGCCCCGTTGACCGCGCACCGGCGGCACGGCCTCCACCAGGGGCAACAACTGGGTTACGTCGTGGCGATTGGCCCCGGTCAGGATGGCCGACAGAGGTGTTCCGTTGGCCTCGGTGAGCACGTGATGCTTGCTCCCGGGCTTGCCCCGGTCCGTAGGATGGGGCCGGTCTTTTTCCCCGCCACCCACGGCCCGCACCGACGCGCTGTCCACGCAAGCCCGGGATCAGTCCAGGCGGTCCGCACCGTGCAATCGGGACAACAGCGTTTCGTGGAGCTTCTGCCACACTCCGGCTTGCTGCCAATCCCGCAGCCGGCGCCAGCAGGTCATCCCGGAACCACAACCCATCTCTTGGGGCAGCATCTCCCAGGGGATGCCGCTCTTCAGTACGAACAGAATGCCAGTCAGCGCCTTGCGGTCGTCCAGCGGCTGGCGTCCCGGATTGCGGAACCGCCGAGGTTTGGGGGCGGGCAGCAGCGGTTGTATGATCTCCCATAGTTCGTCGCTGACCAAAGGTTTCGCCATCGAACACCACCTCCCGCTTCCGCCTACATTATGCCACCGCAACGAAATGAACTTACCGAGAGGTTAGCCCCTTGATTATGGATTAGCAAGCCATTTTGTTAGGGGTTCTTAGTTTAGTATTGAAACGACACATTTAGGACGCGACACCTGCCACTGGCCCATTCCCTTCTCAAATATACGTCGGCTAACTGTCAGAACAATCCTTTCTTTACGAAGATTTCCCAAAGCAGCACGTCAAGCCGTCGTGGTAATATTAATGGCTGGTTCGAGTCTTCTTAGGTGGGCCGGACTGGGAAAGTGACCGGCAACGGGCAAATATTTGGAGACGGGCAGGCGCCTACAAGTTTATTGAGGGTTCCTCGTAATCCTTTAGCTTGTTGTAGATTTGAAGCCGGTGATGGTAGGACTCCAAAACTATGATCCGGTCGTCTGCGTCAACGTTGACAGCCACTGGCCGCCGGAACCGCCATTCAGGCTCCAGATCTGTCCGCCGCCTGGCTTTGATGATATCCGGATTGGCATCGATGTAGGTCTGGGCCCATGGCGAAGGCTCTTGGGCGTCACCGACCAGCGCCGTAATATATTGGCCGTCGGCGGCGTAGATCTGGACTCGGTGGTTCCCCCAGTCAGTTACGTATACATCTCCATCTGAGTCCACAGCTACACCGGATGGCCCTTTGAGCGAACCCACCCCGGTGCTGGAGCCTTCGAACTTAACGAGCAACTCTCCAGTAGGGGCGAATTTTTGCACCCGGTTATTTCCCCAATCCGCGACGTAGATGTTGTCCTGACGGTCGATGCAGATGCCCCATGGCATCTCCAGATCTCCGTCACCGCCACCTCGCTTCCCGAATTTGGACTGAAACTCACCGATCTGGCTGAAACTCTGCACCCGGTGATTCAAGCTGTCCACCACCCAAATGGTTCCCCGGGAGTCGAAAGCAATTCCTGACGGTCCGTTTAGCTGCCCGTCTCCGCTGCCGGACCTGCCCCAGTGATATCGATAACTACCCTCTTCACTGTAAATGGTTACCCGGTTGAGATACTCGTCCGAAACGAACACTCGGCCGTGACGGTCCAAATCAATTGACCGGGGCCAAACGAAGCGCCCGTCTTCCTCGCCGACGGAGCCGAACTGTCCTTGAAACTCGTGGTCAAAGTTGATCTTGGTGACACGCTGACCCAATTGTTCCACACCGCGGCTCAACACATACATTCGACCGTTCGGTCCCAGGACGAAATCTTGGGGAGCCCAAAATCCGAAGCCGGCCTGACTGTACATGCCTATGCAGTAGCTGTAGTCATACACCCGGCCGGCGGCGACGGTGGTCAGCATATCCCCTCTCCTGCGAACTATTTTGGGATCCTAAAGCTACACGAAGGACATTTGCTCGAAGTGTCCACCGACGATAGGTACAGGGTCGAGTCCCAGCCACTTTTCCGCCAAAGTGGAGTAGAAGCCACGGAAATCATAGTTGGGCTCCAGGTCTCCCTGAGTGAGATCCCCGGGTTTCAGCGACGGATAGGTCCCGTACATTCCACCATTCACCCGTTCGCCAATGGCGAACGCTACCCCAGCCGCTCCGTGGTCGGTACCAGTGCCATTATCGCGGACGCGGCGCCCGAACTCGCTGAACAACATAATAACCACCTCGTTTGAGGCGTCGTGCTCACGCAGGTCGGCGAAGAAGTCGCGTATGGCAACGGAAATTTCCGTCCAAAGTTTTTCATGTGGTCCCAGCTGGTCATAGTGGGTGTCGAAGGGCCCGTGGGAGGTGTAAAAGATCTGGGTGCCCAGGCCGGCCAGATGCACTTGGGCCACGTCTCTGAGGCGCCTCGCGATGGCATTATTGGCGTACTCTACGTTTGAAGAATAGGTTTCGGGAGCAACCCGGATGATGTCGGCTCCTCGCAACGCATCCCGTCCTGCCTGTCCCAGATATTCCATGGTCGGTCCGGCGCCGATGGTGGGAGAGTACATGCGGGCAAAGGTCTCCAACAACTGGATCCGATCTTGCTCGGAGGCGATTCCCGGATTCGATGAGAGTACACCGTATGAAGGAAGGTGGTTGACAGAAGTAACAGGAACCCCCTGCATGACCAGTGCCCGAGGCAGGCCCTGGCCCAAGTTAACTCCCTTCAGCACGTTCTCGCCGCCAGGATCCAAGTCCCGGACGACCTTGGCGAGCCAGCCGTTAATACCGATGGAATCCGGCTCGCAGGTATGCCAGATGTCCATGGCACGAAAGTGCGAACGGGGTGAATTTTCAAACCCGATTCCGTGAATGATCGCCATGTTGCCCTGGTCGTAGATTTCTTTCAACGGCTCCGAATCGGCCCGGAATGCCAGTTGGCCATTTATGGGCAGCATTTGGTCTTCAGGGATATGGACCTTGGGCCGGTTATCCCAATACAGGGGATTGCTATAAGGAACAATCGTATTGAGATAGTCGTTGGCCCCAGTTAGCTCCAGTACGACCAGCACGGGGTCTTTATGGGTTGATGCCATTTTCATATCCTTCTACATCAATTGTATGCGCTTGCCTAGGCAAACTGGTATTCTCGCGAGGCGGCAATCAAGGTCAAGATCTTGCTCACATTGGACATTGTAGCCCTGAATTCTTCGTGGGTGCTCCAAGCTAGATCGCCACATTTTTCGGCATGGGCAATCAATTCAGAGTGGGTCGCCCTACTGACTTCCAACGGTCCCATCGCATCGAGACAAGCTTCCACTATCGCCTGGGGGGAATAATCCCCATGCACATGCACATTCACCAACATCCGTTTGACGATAGCCTGCACGCCGGGTAGTGAGATGTCTCCAAATATCCTCGCGGCAAAGTTCACCCGGCGCATCAAAACGCCGGGGTCGATCCATTCTGAGCCTGTGTGCCAACCCTCCACGCTGGGAGGATTGAGCAGCGCCTGTCCCTGCCAACCGCACTCCAACGCCAGATCGTTGAATCCTGGCTTGAAGCCTTTGATAGTTGCCCGCCATACGCACAGTGCCAACGATCAATTCAGCCGGGCTTTTCACCCGGGCGAAGCGGGCATTCTTGAAGAACTCTGAGTTGAACAACGCTCGTAAAATAGACCGGATGTCGCCACGGGATTCATTGTAGGCATCCGCCAACAACTCGATGGCTTCAGGGTCAACTGGTGGTGTAACGTTCCAACTGGCGACATGGGGCTCGTCGGCGACGAAGAATCTGTAGAGGTGACGGGCCAGGAACCGGGCCGTAGCCGGTTGATCCGCAATAATGTCCGCGATGTCTTCGCCATTGAAGTTCCCGGTATACCCCAGGAAGGTCTTCTCCCGATCGTCGTGGTCCTCAGGTTTGTAGTCGAATAGCCAGTGGAAACGACCGTAAGGATTACGGGGGATCTTTGGGGCAATCGTCCATCCGGTAAAGGCCCTGGCTGCTTCCCTGATATCATCCTCTGAGTAGTTTCCGACTCCGAGGGAGAAAAGCTCCAACAGCTCCCGCCCCCAGTTTTCATTTATGGCACCGTCACGATTTCCGTGGTTGTCCAACCAGAAGATCATGGCTGGCGACTTTGCAACCTCTACCAGGAGGTCGCGGTAAGTACCCAATCCGTATTCACGGAAGATGGCAATCTGGCGAGTCAGCTCCAGTGGATTGTCCACCTTGGAGTTGCTGGTGGCGAACAACTGATGCCAGAAGAGGGCCATCTTCTCTTCCAGAGGACGTTTGGTGTTGATCATCCGGAACACCCAATTGGCCTGATTTATTGGCAGCGCCCCGGCCCCCTCATAACCCGGGAAGAACCGGTACAGCAGTTCGTCGTCTATGGCCGGCTGCCGCTCTGGATACAGAAGCTCCTCGACCACGGCTTCGTAGCCTTTGGAGACACGCTCCTCCAGTTCCTCACGGGTATCACCGAAGCCTGCCCGTCTCATTAAATGGGCCATCAATCGAATGTCTTCTTGGTGGGGCATTACCACCTCTCCGTTTATCGAGCCCAGAACACTAAGCCAGGCGCCGCTTCACAGCATATTAGGATTGGCCAAGTCGAATGTCAACAAAAAGCCGAAACAGGTAACTGTTCAGAGTTGATGAGGCGAATTTGCCGGGTCCACGGTCCCGCTGAAAAACACTGGCGCCCAAGCTCGAATCCACCGAAGGGAAACGTCAGCGGTAGTCGGACGAGGGATGAAGGGTCAGGGAACGGGCTGGCGAGGACCTGATGCCGATGAAATGGACGATGCGGGATGTGGACGCCACGCCAGGGGGATGTTGACGGCCCGTGGTAGCGGCGTTGGGAGCGATCATCAGCGCAAATCGCTGGCGGAGGCGGTCAGGTGCCCAGCCTGGGCGCTGATCGGCCAGGCGTGTGGCGGCATGGTGGACAGGTCAAACGCCGAGGACGGCGTCAGGAAGGGAGGGGCAGGACTCGCAGTCTCGCCAGGGCAGAGCTGAACTGGGTTTTGCCAGGGCCAGCCCTGAGGGAGATGCAGGGTGAGACGGCGTGCTTTGCGGGTGACGCGTCCGGTCAGGGAGAAGAAGCGTCGTCGGAGGGTCTTGGTGGTCATTACCTGCTCACCCAGACCGATGTATGCTGTCCAGCGGGCCAGGTATGTGCCATCACCTGCACGGCCGCCAGGCGCCGTTGGCGGCGAAGCGGCAAGGCTGCGAGCTCGGCGTTCCCCGGGCATCTTGGAGAATCCCGGTGTGGGCAGGTTCTCGTAACGGCTGTTAGGCGAACCAACGAGAGTATCAATAAGGCGGAGGGCGCCGGACGGCGTACGGCCAAACCAGGTCCACCGATGCGTTGCGGCGGGTCCTTCCGACGACGGTGTCCAGCTATCTCCAATTTCGCGGCTGGATCTGCCAGGAGACCTTGTGCGACCAAAGTTCAGTAACATTTGATTTGAGGTGATGCGCGGCAAGAGCAATGGTCGTCTATCAGGTACCACCGAGCAGGCAAAGACCAACAATCCTGTACACC